CTCTGAGTAACAGCAGGCGAAAAAAAGCAAACTGGATTTCAGTGAACAGCACAGCATATTCCCACCGTCAGTCAACTACTGAAGCGGGCAAGGCAATACTGATCCCATCCCTAACAATCCCCAAAACATTTACTGCAAGGAAAACCTGGACAAATTTGTTAACCATTCAAATCAACGATTAGTAGCGACCAGATTGGCAGCAGTACCCAAGTTGCAATGACCAACGGAGGGGAAAGGATAGGGCATAGAGGTGGATGCGGTACGACCGAGCTCTCAGCGACTGCAAAGAAAGGAAGGGGTAGGGACGCAGACTGGAAAAGAGCTAAGGCCGGGAAGTGAAAACTGGAAATAAGGGCAAGAATTACAACAGGGAGGCCTATGTATGTATTTTTTACACTCAGCAAGAAATCTGATGTTATTAGAAAGTCAGAAAGTCTGAACGCGGCACTTGGAACCCCACCCAGACAAAAAATCCCGCCGTCACACGACTGCCGAAATTTATAACCAAAACCAAAAATGACTGCACCTTCAAGCGAGGCCGGAACAAGCCGGTTTTAGAAAACGAGTTTCGAACACTAAAACGGGTCGAGAGGCGAGTTGCAATGACCGGGGCAATTACAAAAACTCGGCTCGGCTGGTGATCTATGGTGCTCGGGCCATCCAGCGTTTTGCACTAGCATCTCCGCCAACACTACTTCGCGGCGCCGCTCGCTGGAATTTTGCCAGACGAGGTGGATAGCGCTGCTCAGTGTCTGACGGCTGAATTGCGTGGCCGAGGGTGGTGGGTGGGAGGGTTGGACGTGGTTGGTAGCTGCGCAGATTTAGCTCAGAAGGCGCGGTTGAAGCCAGAATAGTGGGGAGGAGTGAAATTGCTGGTTAGGAGTTGGTGGGTGCCCCAATGCGGCTCTGGAGGCAGGAGTTGGGGACAAGATGCAGGATGAGAAGAAGGGTGCTAGTCAGGAGTTTGATGCAAGAACTGCAGATAACAGTAAAGAGGAAAGTAAACCAGCATGACACTACAAAGAAAAAATAAAAACAAACCTGAATCTGTGAATAAAAGGGAAAAAAGCAAAATCAAAAAATTGGAGCCCATAACGAAAAGCAAAAAAAAGCAAAAGCAAATAAAAACTGAGTAGGATTTGTCTTGTAAAAACCCATCTTCAGTAAGCGGCCCCCGCATTTATGAGGTTTATGCTTAGGTGAAGCTGAGGGCAAATAAGTTAGAATTTACTGAAGCTTATGCTTAGGCGAAGCTGAGGGCGGATAAGTTCGACTGGATTTACTGAAGTTTATGCTTAGGCGAAGCTGAGGGCGGATAAGTTCGACTGGATTTACTGAAGTTTATGCTTAGGTGAAGCCGAGGGCAAATAAGTTCGACTGAATTTACTGAAGTTTATGCCTAAGTGAAGCTGAGGGGAAATAAGTCCGACTGGATTATACAAGAATTGCAAACAATCCCACAGTGCTGCCTTTCACAGCCTGCAACTGTGCACAACGGTTATACCTTTGTTTTTTCTCTTTAAAATCTCACAGGAGCAAGAGCTGACTTCATCCACGGGCATGCATTCTATTCTGTTTTTGCCCACTTCATGGAACTTATTCGCTCTCAGCTTTACCTAAGCATCAGTTTCATAAAAAGTTTGATGGCGGGTTTTTATTGAACAACTTCACTTAAGCATCAGTTTCATAAAGAGGAAAACCTAGTGATGGCTTTTTTTGGGACAACTTTACCTAAGCATCAGTTTCACAAATAGGGAAGCCTAATGACGGTTTCTTCTTTTTTTGGAAAAGCTTTACCTAAGCATCAGTTTTATAAATAAGGAAGTCGCCTACTGATGACGGGTTTTTATGGAACAGTTTCCATTAGCAAAACCTCAGTTTCTTTTGCTTTTATTCATAAAGTTAGATTTGCTTTAATTTTCTCTTATTTGTGTGCGCAGTGTTGTCTTTTTCTCTTTACTGCTATCTTCAGTTCTTGCCTGGAGTTCCTGACTTGTATCCTCGTTGCCCTTCTTTACTCTGTCCCAAATCGTGCTACTAAACAACATATAGACCCCTCCACCCTCCATCCCGACTATAACATCACTATTCAAGTAAACAGTATTTCATTTGTCCCTACCGCAGGTATCTATGGTAAAAACCAGGAACACACCCCCTCATCTTTTGCGTTCATCACCGCTCCCTTCTATTCATCACACTTCCTCCTTTCTGCCAAGTACCACATCCCCCCTCCCCTTCACCCGTTTCCTACGTGGCCCAGGCAGCCGCCCAAGGACCCAAGTCATATCGCTAGCCAATCCATCCAC